TTTTGTTCCTTTTTTAACAAATACAAAATAGAGAAAGAATGGCATGAGCAAGATACTGAGAGAAAAACAGAAAACACCATTTTACTAGTGATAGCTCTCAATAAAACAAAGGCTTCAATGAGAACATTAGAGTCAGGCATACTATAGGAATAAGCACGTTATCAATAACAGTAAGTTTAAACTTTAGGGAAGAAACTCTAAGATAAAGTGTACGGATTAGGAACTTGTTAACTCATTCAAATAAATTCCTGTACCAATATGTACCAATAACTTCCAGGTGTTAAATCCCTTTTTATATGCTGTGAACTATAACAGGTCTTACAGGGTTGTACAAACAAGTTAAAATCAAAAGAGGGAAAGAAACCTCGTGACCCACAAACTCTACAAATACGTATTCTCTTACAAAGCCTTTCACAGAGAAAAGTTTCCCCATCCTTGAGACACAAGTTTAAACGACTCTCTTGAATTGAACTGAAGCACTCTTCAGATCACCTGTGATAGCTACTATAGTCTGTACGTTATTCAGGCATAGTCATTACTTTCCTACTGATGCACTGGCAAATACAAATTTTACCTGTAGTTCCATAAACTCTTCCTCCTGTCTTGATATTAAGATTCACTGGTGCTTTTCCGTAACTCCTAAGAACAACAAAAATTATTCTGATAATCCTGAACTAAACAAAAATAGCAATATACTCCATGTATACAAGTTATACATATATAGACTGACATTGACTAACATGTTTTAAAAAAGTGGGTGTGGGGGAGGGTTCCGAAGTGCTGATTAGGGGACCTAAGGGTCCCTTCCTGCCATTACTGTGGTCGGCAGTTCAATGCCTGGGTCTGAGAATGCAATGTTCTTCAAGCACTGCAGTACCAAGGATTATCTAGAGTACCCCAGTTGTGCTCAGAGACCTTCAGAGCCAATTCAGCAATGCTCGGGGGACCAGGTGGTGTCGGGGATCAAACTAAACTGGTTACAGGCAAATCAAGTGACTTAACTCGCTGTACTATTTCTCTGACCCCTAGGGGGAAAAAAGTCTTAATTTTTTGTCACTTATTAAACAAAAAATTTAAAAAAAAAAACAGATATTCTGGGATCAAGAAAGATAGTGCTGAAGGCCTTCAAAAGTACCCCCAGATGTGTCCTTGGAAGCACCTGAGCACGACTGGAACAATACGACCACATACATTGGCCCTCAAATTAAACCACCTACCATTGGGCTGAGAATCACTCGCAGTGAGGCCTGGGCCACCTGAACAAAGGGAGGACTCTTCCACAAAAGAAACAATTACATCTTATATGTTTGGGTTAGGGCACATACATAATATGAGCATGACCTGGGCATCATCCCCAACACAATCTGACCCCTCGCACACTGCCAGATTATTATCCAGGGGTCCCAAGCACTGTCACTGCTGCTCAAACAGCCAAGAATCAACAGGAGGAAATCCCCAAGGGCAAGGGGGCCCCGGAGCAACACCTGGCAGGCCTATCCCTAAAAAAATTCATTCCAGGCCATTAGCACTGAACACCACTTAGGAAGCCACCCCACTCCCCAATTCTCCCATGCCCCCCCAAAAGGGGGTCTTAAAAGTTGAATGTTTTTTTCTTCAAAAACCTACCTGCCAGTACATGTCCCACTGTTACACACTTCCCAAGAAACTAAGCTGGTCAAGGGAAAGTAGCACTGTAGCACCGTCCTCCCGTTGTTTATCGATTTGCTCGAGCGGGCACCAGTAACGTCTCACAACAAATTGGGAGACTTGTTCTTACTGTTTTTGGCATATTAAATACATCACAGGTAGCTTGCCAGACTTTACCCTGGGGGCGAGATACTCTCGGGCGGAGGAATCGAACCCAGGTCGCCATGTTGGCCACATGCAAGGCAAACGCCTTACCCACTGTGCTGTCACTCCAGCCCTAAAGCGTAAGTAACACATTTATATATACATCTTGTCCTCATTTCCTTGCCTCCTACTTAATTCAGTAGTCAGCAATCCTGTAAGAAAGAAGTAATAAGAAATAGTCCTTGTTTTATAATCCAGTGATCTCCTTTAGGCTCTCACTGCATTCAATACTGTTAGTAGATCGTCTTTCAAATACATGGACTACTTTTGTCCATAAAATAAATTCATAAAATGAAATCAATCTAAACCAAAACCAGAATGTGGTTGTTGGTGTAAGTGGTTAATGACGGAGAGAAAACAATAGGGAACAGGTTTCTAGAATGCGAGTACCATTCCATATCCTGATCTGCGTGGAAGTTACATGAAAACGAAACACTTGTAAAGATGAACTCAATTTCAATTAACGTAGTAAAATATACCTGAAAACAGAGGGAAAAGCTAAAATTTGGAGCCAGAACCCCATTCACATTCAAGGTTTAGCCAATATTACTTATGTGATTTTGGCCTAAGACCTGTATACATTTTCCTTAACAGTAATTTAGATAGCCACGAAGTGCTAGATCCCACATACCTGGGAGTCCAAAGGAATTTCAAGCAAGTATGTGAAAGTATTTCATTTTAACATGAATCTCCCACATTGACCAGATCAGTTATATTTTCAATTAACGTCTCGACAAGCCGTGAAGCCATTGAGTTCTCCAAGTTACCCATAATTCTGTTTAGTACTCAAAAGTATCTTCTTTATCCCCCCATTTTAACTTAGATCAAAGAATATAACATGGATTCACAGTCAGCCTTCTAGAGAGGTCTGTGCTAATGGACCCCTCCCTCACTTTCCACTTACCTCTCCACCCTCTACAGCCCAACTCTGCAACTTTCATCCACAAAAACTGTCTCTCCACAGCTCTTTTTCATGGTCATTTTCACTCATCCCCTCCTGATAATTCTTTTCAAAATTTTTTGGATGTTTCACAATCATCAGTTTGCTCCTGGCCGAATTCCACTATCCGGATAAGTCTCATCCAGAAATTAATTTTGAAAAACTCCAGCATGCAGGTTTTGTGATTGAAATCTCCAGCTTTCATGAGGTCAGGGAGGGTTCCCTCCCTCCATGTATCCCTGTTCTTCTGGAAGCCCGGCAGGAACACCTCCAGCGCCATGTGAGCTCTCTCACAGGCCATGATCCAGAATAAATTAGAATAACAAACTTAGAAATAAATCTTGAAAGAGATCAAGAATTTCTCTCGGATCCTGCACAAGGCTGAGTCATCCAGAGGCAACCCAGAGAGGAACGGGTGAATCCCCACGTCCACCCAAACAGAGTGCCAGCAGCCAAAAACCTCCACATTCCACAATCAGCTTTCAGAGATCGGGCACAGACTACCCTCTGTGCTTCTGGAAGCCCAGCCGTCAGGCCTATGCCCCAAAGCCACCAGTTAAGAATTTCACTCCATCTGTTACTCCGTCAACACTTTTGGACACCCTGGAGTGTGTGGATGCAATTCTGGCTACGCAACATCTCTAACTCTGTAACACTGTTAAGCCAGAAGTAGCACACCAGACTGGATGGTATGTAATATGAAAGGCAACCAATTTCAATTGACAAAATCTATATACAGAAGGCTTTACCTGTAACGTCTTAGTAATCTCTTACACAAGGTTTAAGGGCTCCATGGTGAGATAGAAGAATCTTCACTACCGGGGCTGGAGCAAAAAAGCAAACAAAGAAAAAATTCACAATCTTTCTTCTAAGGAAACAGTTTTTGATCATCCTTTTATCAAATTATTTATAACGAGCAATGTAAAATAAATAATAGTGGGTCTGCTATGGGGGCACGTTCAAGTGGTAGTTGGGAAAATTGGAAATAATGGTGGTGAGAAGGTGCAATGGTGGTGGACTGGTGTTGGAATATTAAATGTCTGTAATTAATGACTAAAAATCTGTTTTTTTTTTATTTTGCTTTTTGGGTCACACCCGGCGATGCACAGGGGTTACTCCTGGCTCTGCACTCAGGAGTTACTCCTGGCGGTGCTCAGCGGACCATATGGGATGCTGGGAATCGAACCTGGGTGGGCCCCATGCAAGGCAAACGCCCTGCCCGCTGTGTTATCTCTGCAGCCCCTAAAAATCACGGATTTAGGATTTAGTCACGGTCCTCCCGCTATTCATCGCTTTGCTCGAGCGGGCCCAGTAGCGTCTCCATCGGAGACTTTGTTGTTACTGTGTCTGGCATATCGAATACGTCACGGGGAGCTTGCCAGGCTCTGCCGTGCAGGCGAGATACTCTTGGCAGCTTGCCGGGCTCTCCGAGAGGGGCGGAGGAATCGAACTCGGGTCGGCCATATTGTGTAACTTGATAGTATATTTTTTTAAAAAAATAATTTAAAATGATTTTTAGGGGCTGGAGAGATAGCACAGCAGTAAGGCGTTTGCCTTGCAAGCGGCCAATATGGCCGACCCGAGTTCGATTCCTCCGCCCCTCTCGGAGAGCCCGGCAAGCTGCCAAGAGTATCTCGCCTGCACGGCAGAGCCTGGCAAGCTCCCCGTGACGTATTCGATATGCCAGACACAGTAACAACAAAGTCTCCGATGGAGACGCTACTGGGCCCGCTCGAGCAAAGCGATGAATAGCGGGAGGACCGTGACTAAATCCTAAATCCGTGATTTTTAGGGGCTGCAGAGATAACACAGCGGGCAGGGCGTTTGCCTTGCATGGGGCCCACCCAGGTTCGATTCCCAGCATCCCATATGGTCCGCTGAGCACCGCCAGGAGTAACTCCTGAGTGCAGAGCCAGGAGTAACCCCTGTGCATCGCCGGGTGTGACCCAAAAAGCAAAATAAAAAAAAAACAGATTTTTAGTCATTAATTACAGACATTTAATATTCCAACACCAGTCCACCACCATTGCACCTTCTCACCACCATTATTTCCAATTTTCCCAACTACCACTTGAACGTGCCCCCATAGCAGACCCACTATTATTTATTTTACATTGCTCGTTATAAATAATTTGATAAAAGGATGATCAAAAACTGTTTCCTTAGAAGAAAGATTGTGAATTTTTTCTTTGTTTGCTTTTTTGCTCCAGCCCCGGTAGTGAAGATTCTTCTATCTCACCATGGAGCCCTTAAACCTTGTGTAAGAGATTACTAAGACGTTACAGGTAAAGCCTTCTGTATATAGATTTTGTCAATTGAAATTGGTTGCCTTTCATATTACATACCATCCAGTCTGGTGTGCTACTTCTGGCTTAACAGTGTTACAGAGTTAGAGATGTTGCGTAGCCAGAATTGCATCCACACACTCCAGGGTGTCCAAAAGTGTTGACGGAGTAACAGATGGAGTGAAATTCTTAACTGGTGGCTTTGGGGCATAGGCCTGACGGCTGGGCTTCCAGAAGCACAGAGGGTAGTCTGTGCCCGATCTCTGAAAGCTGATTGTGGAATGTGGAGGTTTTTGGCTGCTGGCACTCTGTTTGGGTGGACGTGGGGATTCACCCGTTCCTCTCTGGGTTGCCTCTGGATGACTCAGCCTTGTGCAGGATCCGAGAGAAATTCTTGATCTCTTTCAAGATTTATTTCTAAGTTTGTTATTCTAATTTATTCTGGATCATGGCCTGTGAGAGAGCTCACATGGCGCTGGAGGTGTTCCTGCCGGGCTTCCAGAAGAACAGGGATACATGGAGGGAGGGAACCCTCCCTGACCTCATGAAAGCTGGAGATTTCAATCACAAAACCTGCATGCTGGAGTTTTTCAAAATTAATTTCTGGATGAGACTTATCCGGATAGTGGAATTCGGCCAGGAGCAAACTGATGATTGTGAAACATCCAAAAAATTTTGAAAAGAATTATCAGGAGGGGATGAGTGAAAATGACCATGAAAAAGAGCTGTGGAGAGACAGTTTTTGTGGATGAAAGTTGCAGAGTTGGGCTGTAGAGGGTGGAGAGGTAAGTGGAAAGTGAGGGAGGGGTCCATTAGCACAGACCTCTCTAGAAGGCTGACTGTGAATCCATGTTATATTCTTTGATCTAAGTTAAAATGGGGGGATAAAGAAGATACTTTTGAGTACTAAACAGAATTATGGGTAACTTGGAGAACTCAATGGCTTCACGGCTTGTCGAGACGTTAATTGAAAATATAACTGATCTGGTCAATGTGGGAGATTCATGTTAAAATGAAATACTTTCACATACTTGCTTGAAATTCCTTTGGACTCCCAGGTATGTGGGATCTAGCACTTCGTGGCTATCTAAATTACTGTTAAGGAAAATGTATACAGGTCTTAGGCCAAAATCACATAAGTAATATTGGCTAAACCTTGAATGTGAATGGGGTTCTGGCTCCAAATTTTAGCTTTTCCCTCTGTTTTCAGGTATATTTTACTACGTTAATTGAAATTGAGTTCATCTTTACAAGTGTTTCGTTTTCATGTAACTTCCACGCAGATCAGGATATGGAATGGTACTCGCATTCTAGAAACCTGTTCCCTATTGTTTTCTCTCCGTCATTAACCACTTACACCAACAACCACATTCTGGTTTTGGTTTAGATTGATTTCATTTTATGAATTTATTTTATGGACAAAAGTAGTCCATGTATTTGAAAGACGATCTACTAACAGTATTGAATGCAGTGAGAGCCTAAAGGAGATCACTGGATTATAAAACAAGGACTATTTCTTATTACTTCTTTCTTACAGGATTGCTGACTACTGAATTAAGTAGGAGGCAAGGAAATGAGGACAAGATGTATATATAAATGTGTTACTTACGCTTTAGGGCTGGAGTGACAGCACAGTGGGTAAGGCGTTTGCCTTGCATGTGGCCAACATGGCGACCTGGGTTCGATTCCTCCGCCCGAGAGTATCTCGCCCCCAGGGTAAAGTCTGGCAAGCTACCTGTGATGTATTTAATATGCCAAAAACAGTAAGAACAAGTCTCCCAATTTGTTGTGAGACGTTACTGGTGCCCGCTCGAGCAAATCGATAAACAACGGGAGGACGGTGCTACAGTGCTACTTTCCCTTGACCAGCTTAGTTTCTTGGGAAGTGTGTAACAGTGGGACATGTACTGGCAGGTAGGTTTTTGAAGAAAAAAACATTCAACTTTTAAGACCCCCTTTTGGGGGGGCATGGGAGAATTGGGGAGTGGGGTGGCTTCCTAAGTGGTGTTCAGTGCTAATGGCCTGGAATGAATTTTTTTAGGGATAGGCCTGCCAGGTGTTGCTCCGGGGCCCCCTTGCCCTTGGGGATTTCCTCCTGTTGATTCTTGGCTGTTTGAGCAGCAGTGACAGTGCTTGGGACCCCTGGATAATAATCTGGCAGTGTGCGAGGGGTCAGATTGTGTTGGGGATGATGCCCAGGTCATGCTCATATTATGTATGTGCCCTAACCCAAACATATAAGATGTAATTGTTTCTTTTGTGGAAGAGTCCTCCCTTTGTTCAGGTGGCCCAGGCCTCACTGCGAGTGATTCTCAGCCCAATGGTAGGTGGTTTAATTTGAGGGCCAATGTATGTGGTCGTATTGTTCCAGTCGTGCTCAGGTGCTTCCAAGGACACATCTGGGGGTACTTTTGAAGGCCTTCAGCACTATCTTTCTTGATCCCAGAATATCTGTTTTTTTTTTTAAATTTTTTGTTTAATAAGTGACAAAAAATTAAGACTTTTTTCCCCCTAGGGGTCAGAGAAATAGTACAGCGAGTTAAGTCACTTGATTTGCCTGTAACCAGTTTAGTTTGATCCCCGACACCACCTGGTCCCCCGAGCATTGCTGAATTGGCTCTGAAGGTCTCTGAGCACAACTGGGGTACTCTAGATAATCCTTGGTACTGCAGTGCTTGAAGAACATTGCATTCTCAGACCCAGGCATTGAACTGCCGACCACAGTAATGGCAGGAAGGGACCCTTAGGTCCCCTAATCAGCACTTCGGAACCCTCCCCCACACCCACTTTTTTAAAACATGTTAGTCAATGTCAGTCTATATATGTATAACTTGTATACATGGAGTATATTGCTATTTTTGTTTAGTTCAGGATTATCAGAATAATTTTTGTTGTTCTTAGGAGTTACGGAAAAGCACCAGTGAATCTTAATATCAAGACAGGAGGAAGAGTTTATGGAACTACAGGTAAAATTTGTATTTGCCAGTGCATCAGTAGGAAAGTAATGACTATGCCTGAATAACGTACAGACTATAGTAGCTATCACAGGTGATCTGAAGAGTGCTTCAGTTCAATTCAAGAGAGTCGTTTAAACTTGTGTCTCAAGGATGGGGAAACTTTTCTCTGTGAAAGGCTTTGTAAGAGAATACGTATTTGTAGAGTTTGTGGGTCACGAGGTTTCTTTCCCTCTTTTGATTTTAACTTGTTTGTACAACCCTGTAAGACCTGTTATAGTTCACAGCATATAAAAAGGGATTTAACACCTGGAAGTTATTGGTACATATTGGTACAGGAATTTATTTGAATGAGTTAACAAGTTCCTAATCCGTACACTTTATCTTAGAGTTTCTTCCCTAAAGTTTAAACTTACTGTTATTGATAACGTGCTTATTCCTATAGTATGCCTGACTCTAATGTTCTCATTGAAGCCTTTGTTTTATTGAGAGCTATCACTAGTAAAATGGTGTTTTCTGTTTTTCTCTCAGTATCTTGCTCATGCCATTCTTTCTCTATTTTGTATTTGTTAAAAAAGGAACAAAAGTCAAAGGGGTAGAGCTCGATGCACCTAGAAGTATTAATGGAGTTCCACTCTTGGAGGTAGATTTGGATTCTTTTGAAGATAAACCATGGTGTAAACCTGGTAAGATGATAAATGACTCCATACCCCTCCCTGGGACCAGCCTCAGTGACCCTCAAGGTCCTGGGGCACTCAGTGTGTGTGATGCTCAGTCTTCTGGGATGAACATTGTGGTACCCGGGAGTGTGCTCCAGGCCACTGAGCATGTGCTCTAATACTCGAGCTGTTTCCCCAGCAGAAGAGGACTGGATTTTTCTTGGGAACACCTGATGGTGCTTGAGGTCTGCTGGCAATGACTGGTTACCTGTGTGCTTGTGATCAAACCTGGGCATCTATATTCAAAGCATTCATTCTAGTTCTTTGACTTATCTCTCTGGATTGCAGATTTTTAAAAGATGTTTTGTATTAAAGTCATTAGAGAAGTACCTAACTTTCAGTATCAATAGTATTCATAGGATTTTTGTAAATGTCATTATAAATGTCCTAAGCATAATTCGCAGTAATGACCTGTGTTGCTAAATTGTAACAGTAGCTTAGCATTATATTAGTCTTGCATAGCATAGTATTTTCTTATAATGCCATTTATAAAGGAAATTTCATTAAAAACATAGTTTTGTGGTGCTAGAGTAATAATCGGGAGAACTAGTAAAATTTGAAGAAGTATTTATACTTATAGAACTTATCATTTACATTTTTATATTTTATTTGCTGCATAAAAATAGGATTGAAATACTTGCATACAAAAGTTGTGTCTTCTTTTTAGGCGCTGACCTTTCTGATTATTTTAATTATGGGTTTAACGAAGATACCTGGAACGCTTACTGTGAAAAACAAAAAAGGATACGAATGGGGCTTGAAGTTATAGCAGTTACCTCAATTACAAATATATTTATGGTAATTAGTAAACATTTCAAAATACTCCTGTCTTTTCTATTTTCTATTCACTTTTTTTCCCTAATCACTTTTTCCCCATAAAGGTGATTAAATACTGTGTGATAGTTTAAAATTCCATTCTTTTTATCGTATTTTTTCCCCTTCCCTTTCAGAGTTCTATGTTAATGCTTATCTGATATTTAGCTACAAGTTACTGACTAGCCACAGTTAGTTTGTATTTGTATGGCCTATCAATTCAAAATTACATGGCATCTGAATGGGGAATATGTTATTTAACTTATGCCAAAGACTGTACTATGGGAGTTACACCAGGTGCAGAGATCCAAGATGGCAGATTCAATCTTTTTTTTTTTTTTTTTTTTGGTTTTGACTTTTTGGGTCACACCCAGTGATGCACAGGGTTTACTCCTGGCTCTGCACTCAGGAATTACCCATGGCGGTACTCAGGGGACCATCTGGGATGCTGGGAATCGAACCTGGGTCAGCCGCGTGCAAGGCAAATGCCCTACCCGCTGTGCTATCGCTCCAGCCCCAGATTCAGTCTTTTTTAAAGGTGAATTTTAGTAAATTATCCTTGGTTGCTCTCATTTTTTGTTCTTGAGTCTTCTCCTATGCCACTACTCAAGGGACAAGATTAAAGTGGAAATAGCTTCTCTGTTTCCCAAACCTTCAGCTTCCTGGTGACCTACAAGTTTGCTGATTGTTGTTTCATCTCCACTTTTGCAAGCATGTGAATTTGTACCCTATTATACTAACAAATGCAAAGTAAAGTTCTTGCTCTATGTTGTGATTTTATTTTGAGTCATAGTCTATGTTTGTTTGTTGGATATAAAAGTTCTTCCAACAGGTTATGCTATTATATAGACCATAATATAATCTATCAAAATTGGAGGCTTAAATTTTCCTTGTTGTTTTTTTTAACAATGGTAAGGAAAATGGCAATCTGAATATCTCTATAACTTTGAATGTTGTATGTATTGCAGTTTGGGCATTCTTTAAGAAAAGAGTCTCTTAAAAATTGTGGATTTACTATTATTTACAATGACTAGAAACATTTTCTGGAAAGTGAATTTTACTTTTACTGGTTCTTTATATTTTCCTTGAATAGAACAAAGAAAGTTCCTTTGTAAACTTCCAGCTTCCATATACTTTTGTCTCTTTGCAGTAAACTTCTAAAAGTAAAGAATATAAAGGAAACGATGGTTTCCATTGAAGGTAGCCTTCATGAATACCTTGCTGATATGTATACTGCTTTACTGCAAAGTTGTTTTGAAGAGTTTTTTTCTGGTTTGGAGTAGAGGTCATTTTTCCATTTTAATTTGTGATTCTGAATGAATAAGGGTTTGAGTTGGATAAGTATAGTCTGTTGGTTTTTTTACCTTGATAATGTGCTTAAATATTGCTTGTCTTGTAGAAATACTGATTAGGGAATAGGGTATGTATTTTTTGTTTGTTTGTTTGTTTGTTTCGGGACCACATCTGTTGGTGCTTGGGGAATACTCCTGTCTTGGTGCTCGGGGGGACTTCTTTTGATGATGGGAACTTGGTGGTGATGGGCATTAAACATGGGCCTCCTGCATGCAAAGCATGTGGTCAGCCCATTGAGCAAGCTCTCCAGTCATTCAACTTCATTACTGTGTGCAGCTCACGTTTTTTTTTTTCATTTTGCTTACTGTTGTCTGTAGGATCTTTTAAAATAATGAAAATGTGTTTGAGCGCAGTTGATATTTTTAAGCTGCAGTTTAAATTTCTGAAAGTGCCATGTTAAAGTTAAGATTTTCAGAGTTTTGTGGAATATTTAAAAAAATGATTACTTGTCTTTTACCATGTACCATGTAAATGGTGATTAGTAAAATGCTACAAAGTTCTTATCAGTAATGCAAACACAAAGAGGTAAATGTGTGAGGTCCTAAGTGTGAAAAGGCATATTTTAGATAAAAATATTATCGTTTCTAGGGAATTACAAGAATTAATATGAAATCAGATATTACTTTGGTATGTAAAATTATTGTGATGCTAAATATAGCTTGTTTCAGTGCTTTCTTATTAAAAAATCTTTAACTATGTCAATTTTATTGTGATACCAGGATTTACAGTATCGTAAATCATTGATTTTGTGCATACATCTTTGCAGTACCACACGTAACACCAGCGACTAATTCCTTTGACTGATGTCTCAAGGACCTTTCCCAATTCTCCACCCTCCCCACACCAACCTTCATGCAACCTCAGTTCTATAGATAAAAACTTTCCGTTTAGACTATAGAAGAAAAACAGTATGCAGTATTAGAGAAGTGTGTATTACTGTATTGGGTTTGAGGGTATAGAGAAATATTCTAGATGGAGGAAATTCTAGTTCTGTGCGGTGGGTGACCGCGGCGTCCCTGCAACATTCTCTGTCCTCAGCCTTCCCCGCTTCGCCTTCTGAATGCCGTGCGGGTCTTCCCCAGCGCTGCTGCCACCCCATCCGTGGTTCTAGGCCGTGGTCACATTGTATTCGCGTGCGCCGCCCACTCAGCCCAATGGGCCTGCAACCTGCAGCCGCTTTTCCAGTCCTCTCCGCTGAAGGTGGGTTGGCGCTTGGCTGGGATGGGGGCCATGGGAAGCAGTGCTGGGCTGGGGCACCTTGCACTGCCAGATACCCCCTGCCCCCCCAGCTTCCCGCTGCCTTGCAGTGTCTACCAGTATCCAGGCAACACACGGCGAGTCCCCACAGGCTGTCTTCTGCAGAAACTCCGAGGCTGGTTGCAGTAAGAGACTAGCTGGAAGCGTCAGAGCCCAGTTCACAGCCTCCACCTGGCTTTGAGGGGGTCCAATATGTGCTTGACAGTTCTGCTACCTGGAGGGACTCACGGCCAGCATCATCGCTCTGTCTTCCGCCCACTGTTCCCGGTGCCCACCCTGTGTTCCCATTTCCCACTGAAAACATTCTTCCCTTTGGGTGCTCCTGGGGCTCCACGGTCTCCAGCTCCTGAATTCCATCTTTAGTCCCATTCTTTTGTCTGGCCCATTTCCATTCTTCTGTGGTTCGGTTCAATTTTGGTGGAGCAGGGTTGGGTGTGGAGGGGATGGGGTTAGAACCTAGGGGTCCCCCGCTCCGCTGTTTTCCCGTGCAGACCCCCACCCCCTCCCATACTTCTGAATATATGAATGAGAATTATGGTTTCCAAGCCTTTCACATGATAATTCTAAGCCTCCTCTGATTGGCTCCCTGAAGTGGCTTCTCTTGTGGTCATTCTCACTCCCCGTCCTTTTGTCCTTGCCTGCGACTTGATCAGACATGAGAACACCCCTTCGTGTGACCACAGACTCTTCTGCTCCTCTGCAGACCCAACACCTGCTTCAGCCCCTACTCCAACCCCTAGGAGTGAAATCAAGGTCTCATGGACCTTATTTGCTTTGCAGACAGTAAGCTGCAGCTAGACTCTGGCCATCTCACGGTCATATTACAGCTGGATTTGAAAACGTTTTTGGCCATAGCAATTGAAAAGCTGGAGCGATAGCACAGCAGTAGGGCATTTGCCTTGCACGCAGCCAACATGGCCGACCCGAGTTAAATTCCTCCGCCCCTCTCCGAGAGCCCGGCAAGCTACCAAGAGTATCTCGCCCGCACAGTAGAGCCTGGCAAGCTATCTGTGATGTATTCGATATGCCAAACACAGTAACAACAAGTCTCAAAATGGAGACGTTACTGGACCTGCTCCAGCAAATCGATGGACAACGGGAGGACAGTGATAGTAAAGAGGGGGAAAGCTCTTGGCTTCCACTTGCTAACACTGGTTGGATCCCTGGCATCCCCTCCTAAGACCTACCAGGAGGGGTTCTTGAGTGCAGAGCCAGGATGAAGCCTGGGCATTGCCAGGTGTGGCCCCAAACCCCAAAATAAATAAATACACTTATATCCATTTTGGGCTGGAGCAATAGCACAGCGGGTAGAGCGTTTGCTTTACAAGCTACCGAAAGCTACCGAAAGTATCTCGCTCCCACTGCCAAGCCTGGCTAACTACCCATGACGTATTCGATATGCCAAAAACAGTAATAGAATCTCACAATTTGTTGTGAAACGTTACTGGTGCCCACTCGAGCAAATCTATGGACAATGGAGGACAGTGCTACAGTGCTATATCCATTGTAATTAATGAGTGGTACTCCTCCCACCCCTTTCTCTCATTGGCTATTAAGACCATTTCGTAGGAACAGGGATGTGACTCAGTGGCAGAGCATAGACCTTGCATGAGTGAGGGCACCCCAGGAGGAAGGCGAGTTTCATAAATATGGTGTTGAGATTTTTATGGCATAAGATTCATTACCAGTATAGTGATAATGGCAACATTCTGTAAATCAGTATGTAGTTGTGAAGGTGGTACTCTAGTTTGATCTTCTCATGCACAGGCTGGGATTACTACCTTATCTCTGAAAATTATCCATTTCCATGAGAGGTTCTTTTATAACTTGGAGAGCACCCATTGTTCTTGTCTATCTTTGGCCTCCTATAAGTACAGAAAAGTAAAGGGGATCTTAATGTAAAATGAAGGAAAGACTCAAGTCATCAGAGAATTTCTTCATAGTTACCAGCAAAAAAATGAATAAAAAAAAACTGTTACAAAATTAAGGTAACTCCTCTCCAGGGTCTCAGAACCCTTCAGAAGCTTCCTAAGTTGACAAAACTGCAGTCACTACAGGTCCAGGCCAGTCTGTGGTGTAAGCATTCAAAGATCAGTCTTCATTGCTCCCTCTCCTCAGGCAGCTTTAGGTTGGAGAAACTAATTTTGTTCTCTTTTCTCATTCCTTGATTTATTCTCTCAACCAACAAACTATCAAGCCTTTGTGAGTAACACACTTTTCTTGCTTCAGAGAATGAGGAAAGGATACAATATGGATTCTTTGAGCACTCAAGGTGCTTATAAACTGGTTATAGTGATAGGCACATGAAACAAATCAATAATTAGTATTGCTCTGCTTTTATTTGTGTTTGAATAGTTTTTCTTTTATGTTTTGCAATGCTCAAGGCTTTCTTCTGACTCTGCACTCAGGGATCACTTCTAGTAGGCTTGGGGGCACCACATGGGGTACTGGGGGTCATACCCAGATTGGCCA